TCTTTGACAAGTTTGTGGCAGAAAGGAGAAAAAGAACAAAATTCCTGAACCCCGTTGTCCTGTTCAAGGAGCTGGGTAATACAGCTGATGGAGTGAATAGGACAGGCCTGGCTTGAAGTATATACTGCAGAGTGCATAATCACAGAATCACAGAATGTCAGGGATTGGAAGGGACCTCAAAAGATCATCCAGTCCAATCCCCCTGCCAGAGCAGGAACCTAAATGAGATCACACAGGAGGGCGTCCAGGCAGGTCGTGAATGTCTCCAGAGAAGGAGACTCCACACCCTCCCTGGGCAGCCTGTCCCAGGGCTCTGTCACCCTCACTGTAAAGAAGTTTCTTCTCAAGTTTAAGCGGAACCTCCTGTGTTCCAGCTCACACCCATTGCTCCTTGTCCTGCCATTGGGCATCACTGAGAAGAGCCTGGCTCCATCCTCATGACATTCACCCTTTACATATTTATAAACATTAATGAGGTCTCCCCTCAGTCTCCTCTTCTCCAAGCTAAAGAGACCCAGCTCCCTCAGCCTTTCCTCATCAGGGAGATGCTCCACTCCCTTCATCATCTTGGTGGCTCTGTGCTGGACTCTCTCCAGCAGTTCCCTGTCCTTCTTGAACTGTGGGGCCCAGAACTGGACACAATATTTCAGACGCAGCCTCACCAGGGCAGAGTAGAGGGGGAGGAGAACCTCTAACTGCAAAGCTCTGCTTATGTGGAGGATTGGGGGGGAAAAAGAGAATTCAGATTGGAAGATTCAGAAAAGAGCAATAAAAACCAAATGTGCCACTCAACCAGAGCATCTGATTAGTATTACCACTTAGCTCGAAACAAACTATGAGGACTTCCTGCAAGTCACTCAGAGGGGTTTTAATACTATTTCAGTTGCTTTAAATTAAATTACATGTTTTATCTTAAAATAAATATTTAACCCATTCCCCAGCAGCTGCCATCTTAGCTATTTGCATCTGGGGGAAGGTTGTACATTTGATCAGAAGAGCCTTACACAACTTCAGGCTGGTTTTTATTACTGTCATTTGTGGGTATCTCTGAACGTTGCTTCAAATAGTCTGAGTAAGTGAAGCATGTTTTATAAATGCAAGCTGTCCTCATAGACTGCAAGATCAGCAAGCTTTGTAAATTTATTTTGTCTTGTAGAGGAAAATTGAGCAAGTTCCAGAATAGGGAAGGTAGTCCAAAAAATTACATGTTCTATTTAGTACTAAGGGCAGCTTTGTAGCCAGCTTGTTTTAGGAGCATCAGATCATCTTTCTGTATGATCATCCTAAAGTATTTGGTCTAACAGACAAAATGCCTAATGATTTGCCTGAATACCTCTTTGTGATAATGTAATAATACCTTTATTATAGTGCATAATTAAAAAGAACTTGATTAGGGATAGCAGGTTCTCCTTATTGCATAAAAAAGAGTCAGGGAACCAGAAGCTGTCCCATGCTGCCAACTTAGTTTAGTACCAGGATAGCGAGACCTCTGTGGTTATATGTGTGTGGTGGTTTCACCCTTTTGGCTTGCAGCCAAACCCAGCCTGCTCTCTCACTCTCCCCCTGCCTCCAGGGAGAAGGGGAGAGAATTGGAAAAAAAAAGGTCAAGGAGACTCATAGGTTGAGATAATAACTATTTACTAATTAAAATAAAATGATAATGGTAACAACAGTAATAACAGAATATGCAAATGAGTGATGCACAGTGCAATTGCTCTCCACCCGCCGACCAATGCCCAGCCTGTCCCAGCCAGTGATCCTGGAGCAGAGACAGTCCCAAAACTGAAACCCTGGAAGAGCGAGCCTGAGCAATCCCTGAGAGAATATCCCTGTCTTCCAGTCAACCCTGGTTAATATACTGACATAACGTGATATGATCTGGAATATCTCATTGGGACATCCAAATGCCAGTTTGGGATTTTGCTAATTACTACATTTCTCCCTCCCAGTCCTTTGCACTTGCAAAGTAGCAAAAAAACACAATGACCTTGAGCTCCAGCAGCAACTAATGACATTAGTACCTTATCAGCCTTCTCCTCATAACAAATCCCACACTGAAACTAAAACACAGCTATTCTAGCTAATAAGAAGAAAATTAACTCTATCCTAGCAAAACCAGGACAGTGTGGGAGACTGGTGTTTCTGTAGCATGGGGGAATTCTCTGCTGGGGAAAAAACTGATAGGGCTATGAGGGAGATTCCTGTTCCCATCAGTAAAAGGGTTGTAGTGGTGAAAGATTATCCACATTCACCCCCTGTGCCCAGTGACTACCCACTTACCTCTCACATTGCTGTCAGAGCTGATCGAATGGATCTGCACCGCCCCAAAGCTGGGTGCACCAAGCACAGAGGGCAGCTGGTGTCTCCCAAAGGTCCCTTTGCAACTGCACTGCCCATGCCGTCCCCAGCACAGGTCAGATGTCTTACTGTCTGGCTCACACTGCGTGCAGAAGGCACTTTGTTCTCCTGAGCTCAGTGACACCTCTCAGAGTATGACTTCATTGTGGCATCAGTTGCCTCACAGCAATGAATGCTCCAATTTCTGGGCATCCATCAAGTTTATGTCTACAAATACATTTTAACTGATTTAAAGAAGGTGATGCTGTTTGGTTTTAACTATTAATTTGAAGCTAAATCTCTGCTGCTTGTTAAAAACTGAATAGGCAAGGATTGATTTCCTAATACGAAGCAATTGCCTCCCTTTGCAGAAGAAAATAAGAAAAGGTTGTGGCACTGATATTTCACGTTTAAAATGAAAATGAGTCCTAGTTCATGAGGATGTTGATTTTTCATAGCCTTTTTCGTTGATTAACTATTATTTCAGTCATGAAATAAAGTACTGAGTACTTAAGTTATTCTCCTCATCAAAACAAATCAATAGAGTTTGCACTCACAAGAGAGAAAATAGGTGATGACTGTTTCCTCTGCACCAGCAATTGTTGTTTTCATAGTATTTACAGGTAAAAGGGTCTGGGGAGCTGACACTTGCTGTTAAGTTCTTAAATTGCTTTTTGAAGCCACATTGTGATCTTGGTGAATTTACTAACTTGTGCAGATTTTTCAAATACACATCTTTAACTTGGGAGAGGATTGTTTGCATGAAATGCTGTTGTTTTCTAATATTTTTGGCAGCAGTTTTTTTTCTTTAATTTTATAATATCTGGATTAAACCTAGTGGAAATCATACTACAGTATTTGTCATTGGACACTTCAGCCCAGAAGTCTGGAGAGCTTTTTAAAACTGCACAGATACTAGATCTGCTTTCCTCTATATAAAATTTGGTGGTGTGCTCACATCTATTGCATATGCATAGGATATGCAGTGAGATCCTGAGCTTTAGTGTTCCTTCCAGGATAACACACTACTGGGTCACTGCTGTTGGGTCAATAATCTTGAGGAGGTGAGAGAGCCTGACCTGGCTTTGAGGCACCTTCTGGGGGATGCTAAGTTCATTGGGAATGTTTAATTTTGCTGATCTGTCTTTATCTTGAAATAATCCTACAACATTATTTAGAATAATTGCCATGATGCTGCCAAGTCTGGTGATTTGGGAGATTATTTTGTTTTTAACAAGGGAGGATCATGTAGGGAAGTGCAGATCAGTTTTCTGCTCTGAATTTTTTCTTTTTTTTCTTTCAGGAATTTTTTTTTTCTTCCCTGTGTCTAGTTTCTTTGGTCCTGGTGCAGTGGAAGCTCCTCAAGTCTGTTAAACTCCATTGATACTCGCTGCAGCCATAACCAATTCATATCAACTGGACATTTTTCCCAGTAAACTTTTCTTAGACCTACAGCTTTTCCCTCCACCAGGACTGTGAGTGTGGATAGGAACAAAGAATGAAAGACTAAAACATCCCCTTCCTTTAGCAATCTGGATTTTTTGCTTTCGTAGATGAGGTCTCTGGAATTTGAATCGTCTATCATCATCTGAAGACTGATATTTCAAATCAGTCCTTTACCAATGAGCCAGAAGCTTGCCAGAGAAAAATCAGCTGTCCCTCTGTACCAGCCTGGAAGCCAGAAGTTATTTTGCTGTCTTTGACCTTGAGAAAGCTACTGAGCTTCTCTACCTCTCTTTCTTCCCTCTGCAGGAGTGGTTGCATGTTACTGCCTCACCTAGACCTAGTGCATATTAATAAGTTAATGTCTTAAGGTACATTAAAAGGGTGTAATAGCTATTCAAGTCACACTTGTTCTTGGGACTTAAAATGACAGTAAATTCCTGGATTTTTTAATTCAGTTTTATTACAGACACTATAGTTCATTTGCACACGTAACACTTTTGATTGCAAACATTTTCTGGTACTTGTAGCATCTATTCATAACCTCTTCTCAGAAGGGCAGTCTGTCCCTTGTCATAGTATAACTTTTATGTCATTTGTGCTGCTGGTTTGCCTCTATTTTCCCTGATAAATTACCAGCTTTATGATAGATTAAGTTGAAACAGAGAAGAGTGTAATTTCCACATGACCTTTTTTCTGCAACCTCTGTTACCAATTTGTGCCCTACTGCAAATGACTTTCCCCTTTAGTCCAAAGGGTATGTGTCAAACATAAGTAAAACTCTGCATTCTGGGATCATTTTTACCATTTCAGAAAGCATTTTAACAGTTGGTGAAAAGCTGATAACCCCTGCCACCAAAAGCCATGGAAGGCTTGATCCTCCTGAGTGAATTGAATTTGAGAAGAAGGACCATGCCCAAAAGCCCTGCGTCATGAGCAGCAGCAAAAGAAGCTTTAGGAACCTTCTTGTGCCTCTGGAATGTATCTTTATTTTTTACTTAGGCAGCTTCTTGATTTGAAATCACAGAATTATCAGGGTTGGAAGGGACCTCAGGAGATCATCTAGTCCAGCCCCCCTGACAAAGCAGCCAGGTTGCACAGGAAAGTGTCCAGGTGGGTTTTGAACATCTCCAGAGATGGAGACTCCACAACCTCTCTGGGCAGCTCTGTCCCGGTAACAACCTTATTTTCTGCCTTGCCCATATAGTTCTCAGTCTGTCTGGTAAGACAGTTAATTTCAATTACTCTGTGGGCTCTTGTACACTGGCAGCTGAATCAAGGCCTCAGTTTGTTCAGAGTAGGTACTAAAGAGCTGCTAAGTGGCAATATCTCACCCTGAGCTAGAACTGCATCTGTGGCAGAGCAGTGAAAAATGGCTGTGTCCAAAAAGACACTGTGTGAGACCAGTTCCTCTGGGACACCCAGTTCAGCCTCAGACTGTAGATTTATGAAATGAAATGCATTAGACATTCCTGCCAGTGTCTTGTAAATCTTATAGAACATATTTGAGTCAGAAAACATTTATCTTCCATAAAACTTGTCAAAAGAATTGCCTTTTGTCTAAACTTTAGCATTGCCTACAGATAGAAACACTTAATATTTATAGCTCTGCCTTCTCTCTTTGTCTTTCACACACATGTCTGTATTGTAGAAATGTATATACAATCGTTTGAAGTTTGGGGTTTTTTTTCAGATTTTTGTTTTAACTGGTAAGTACAGAAGAGTGTGCTGTGGAACTGAAAACATGCTGATAAAAATGTACCTCTTTATTCCAAAATCAAAGAGCCCAGGATGACAGATGAGAAGCCTGGAGTTTTTTTCCCCGTTAGATTTTTGCAGGACAGATTTCACTTTTTTATTTTTAGATTTTGTCTGTGCCTTGAGTCACTCATATACTTCAATTCTGATTTTTCTTTAAAATCTTTTCTCATTCGAAACAATCCAAGCTATAGTGGTGTAACTTTTTTGCTGTTTTGATCACGTAAAGATGGTACAACAATAACTGCAAGTGCTTGTACTAGTCAGCTATGAATTATTGAAATCTATGTGTTAAGATACATTTTTCTTAAGTACTTGCTTAGCTGTAGCTTTATTCTCTAATTTTGTTTCCAAAACATGAACCTGATTATAAATGGACTGTTTGAAACAATAGTGTGGTTTTTGGTAAATAATGTTAAAAAATTTTGTGGTGTAGACCACCTGACCATGTTGGTTTGTTGCTAATGGCCCAGAGGAATTTATACACAATGGAAATATCCAGTGACCTTGATTTGTCTTTCTTAAGTATACTGCAATACTGCATGTATTTCACAAGTTTGCTTAGACAGCTGACTTCATCAAAAAGATGTGGAAAGTGCTGATTTTAATCAAGAAGAACACAAAACACCAGGAAAAATGAGGGCCTTAAAATAGAAAGTAGTATTATCAAGAAAGTGGATGATTCAGAAAAATTACAATGAGATGAGAGGCCACCTATTTCTAGATCACTAGTTCAATTAAAGATCTAGCATGGTAATTTATAAATCTTGTTGACATCAATAACCTGCTTGGTAACCTAAATTGGTGAACCACTTTGATATCTGCTAACCTATGGCCACGCCCATAAAGCTGCATCTGTAACCTATATACATCCTTCACAGAACAGGAAAGCACCAAATGGTCCTGGATGCTGCACTACTTTTTGCTCCTTTCATTTGTACTTCCAGAAGGGACTTAATGAAATTCTACTTATTGTCTCCGTATGTATTGTTTTAAAATTAACTGAGTGATTTAATGATTGCGTTCACCGTTGGAAGTTTTTTATTTCTTTATTATTATTTTTTTTTTAGCAATGTTAACAGAATTTCACAGTATATTAGTTCCTCTTGGAAATTTAATTCCATGTTTTTTAATTTAATACCTTTCTTCTTAAAAAGAGTTACACAAAAAATAGGTTACGGAGAAAACAGATTTAATAAAAAAACAATTTAATTAAATTATTAAAGCATATCAATGAATTGAAAGCTAGTTGAATATTTTTAAAGACTGTAGTGCATTTATGTGTTGTTAGGAGAATTCAGCTGATGAATTCTAAAACTGCTTCCAGGATAAAAAAAATGTTGAGGTCAAACTCCTTGAAGTCTAATACAAAAATTCACAAGCCAGTTCTTCATGAATCTTTCATACTTTGTGCTACAAAACATGGATTATCACTAAGGAAATGAAGCGCCTCTCCTCAAGGCATCCAGTAAAGCTACACTTCTCATTGTTGGTTAGCCTGCAATAGTAAATGTTGCAATTAACAAAATTATTTATTTGAAGAAAGAGAAGTTTTTCAAGTTGACTCAGTAGAAAATAATTTAAATGGAAGAATATATTTTTTTTTCAAGATGCAGATGCCTCTGGTATTCTGAACAGGCTAAAATATTCAAGGGAGTTGAAGCTACTCCACACTCAATAAGGTCTGACCCAAATTCAGGTGTCTCAAGTGCAACTTGCCCAGCACATCTGGTTTCACACCTATCTTCTTGTGGAAAGTAAAATGAGAGTTTGACAGAGAGTGACTGATAGGAAAATGTTCCCCACCTTTTATACAGCGGTTGCCTCTGCTGGGACTTAAGGGAGGGAGCGGTGTCTGCTGACTCACAAATAAACCTGAGCAGCCATCATTTTTGTCTGCCAGTCTTTCATTCTCCTTTCATATTGGAAAAGCAACATGAGTTGTTAGATAAAAATGGGTTGGGAAACCTGGTCCTGTACCTCACTTTTCCTTCACCTGACTTTGATATTCACTTCCTCATGTTCCTGTTTTGCTACTTGTATTGATGTAGATCTGAAAGCCCTTTCCCTTCAGTGGTAAAGGGCTTTCAGATCAACATGAAAACAGAGCTAGCTGGTAGCAGTACTGACGACAGGTCTGAACCTAGCAAGCTGCAGGAAATGATCAATCACACTTTATGTGACAAAAGAAATACGATGTTAGCTCCAATTCAGATTGATCTCCAGCATCTGACTGAAATGAGCAGCCATGGTAGGAGAAAGGCTATATCGTCACTGCAGCCCTCACAATGTATAACTGTGCCATTAGCAAACAAACCTCCCAGGCTTTAGCACCCTCCTGTTGTTATTCTCACCAGCTCCAAAATTCTCTTTTCTCCAAGCCTAGTTTTACATGCTTGGTCCCCTCTGCTTCAGAGAATCATAGTGGTTGGAAGAGACCTTTAAGATCATCAAGTCCAACCATAAACCTAACACTACCAATTCCACCTCTAACCATGTCCCTGAGCACCTCGTCTACCCATCTTTTAAATACTACCAGGGATGGTGACTCTACCACCTCCCTGGGGAGCCTGTTCCAATGTTTGACTGCCCTTTCAGTGAAGAAATTTTTCCTAATATCCAATCTAAACCTCCCCTGGTGCAACTTGAGGCCATTTCCTCTTGTTCTATTGCTTGTTACCTGGGAGAAAAGACCAGCTCCCACCTCCCTACAACCTCCTTTCAAGTAGTTACAAAGAGTAATAAGGTCCCTCCTCAGCCTCAGAGGGTTGTGTCCTTGCCTTCCCCTCAAGTCCATCAACATCTTATTGCCCAAACAGTGCAAGTCATGGTTTATCTCTGCCTTTCTACAGTCCTCCTCTACAATCCATACCTTTCCTTTCTCCCACTTTTTTACTCCACCTTTTGCATTAGGTGAGATATTTTCTCCTTACTGCCTGCACACCAGTGGAGAGGTCACGCAAACACCAGACTGAAGACATGCTTATCGCTCTGATGGTGATAGCTGGTGCAATTCCCACTAAGCCTTGAGACTCTATTTGCTGCCAATATTTTGTTCTCGGTCCTGGCTGCCAGTATTTCTGCCTGGGCACTGACCTACCTCTCCCTGTCAAGTGTTGTACCTTAAATCTAATGTATACTCAGTTTAAACCCATTAGATGTCTTGCTGGTCATGAAGATCTTTCTGTCCTTGTTTCTTCTCAAAAAGGGATGAGAAACTGCTACTTTCCTAAATACAATGAGAGAACCAACTCAGTCTTCCATTGAGCTGTTTCCTTTAGTTGAGTTATTTTTTTTTCTTTCCCAACAGCTCTGGTTTACACACAGGTGAAAGTGTTACAAAAACAGGACCTGGAGGCCTTCCAGACATGAGACAAGTGCCAACTGTTGTGATCGAATGCGATGACAATAAAGAAAATGTGCCTCATGAAACTGACTATGAAGATTCTTCCTGCCTCTACGCAAGACAGGAGGAGGAGGAAGAGGAAGATGAAGATGAGGATAACTCATTATTTACAAGTAAGACTCATTCCGTTTTTTCTTTCTCATTGATTTAATTTTTTCCTCTGTACTCTCACTACACAAGGGAAATACAAGGCCTGTGACTTTTCTTTCTTGACTGTGGCTTTTCATCTTCCAGAGCTTGACTACGTATTAATCCAAAATAACAAGTGGTAGAAATTTTACTGATTTCCCTAATCTACATGAATCCCTGTCTGAGTAGCTCTTAGACAAAATTGAAATTACTGTTTTGGCTTATATTAATTCACTTACAGGTTGTCTTTTGGATTCACTTTCCCAAGTGTCCGTGGTGTAGAGAAGCCCTGTCTTTTTAAGGCTTAAGTTAAGGCTTAAGTCAAGATCAACTCAATAGAGTTACTTCAGGAGGATGAAATAAGTGCCACTGATAAAGAATCAGAGCTTTTATATATATAGTAAGTATTAAATCATGTCAGAATTGTGAGTCTGCACATACTTTGAAAGGGGTCATGATCAGAGAACTGGACTCAGATAAGAAGAGAAGTAGTTAATCGATAGCCACATCACAATCACAGTCTGGAGAGTGACCTGTGGCCCTGTCCTGACCTGTCTGAGAAACCCATCTCCTACCTCAGTGTGGCATCATGAAATCAAGATCCTGTACTTTGTGGATGACAACTACTTGTCATCTTGCAGGTCAAGCTGAAGTTTCAGGCCCTTAGATTTTGTCAGAAAACTGTGAGCAGTACAAACAAGCGACACCCTTTTGTAAAACTCACACCAAAAAAGTTTCTAAAATGGGCATATTTCATCTCCTCAGAATCCTCCCTTACCCTGCAAGTGAAACTAAGCAGTCTTTGCTCTTAAACTGAGAAACAGAGCAGAGCTGCACTATCTCATACTCTACTGCCAAAGCCCAACACCTCTCATGGGTTTGTGTCTCCCTGTCTGCCTGTGTCTGTCTTCTGTGCTCAGACTGCTTTGGGTGCAAGCCTAAGAAAGCAAGCTGGAGCTGTGAAAGGCCACTGGTTTTCACAGTGTCTTTGCCACTGTCACTGCCTGAGAAGCAGTGTCAATTAATGTATATAGAGATCTGTGCTGCTTCTGATTGACTTTTGATTCCTTCTAGTGCTGGCTTGGATGTCTTGATATTACATTCCACATGCTGTAGCTCTGCTGCCTGCCCAGGTTCTGAGGTTGAATTATTCATTCTGTTACATGGTTCAGAAACACTGTTCTGGAGAAAGCTACAGATGCTACTAGCAATTCCTAAAACAAGCCCTTCTTCTCCACTCCCCTCTGTGGAGCAATGTTTTAATTTATTTTTCCTGTATACCTACCAAATGCAACTTTTCCTTTATAATGGTATGAATTGAGGTTAATTTAGCACATGAAGTTAATTGACACCTCTTTTCCCATAGTCCATATCAGTGTAAAGGAGAGCCTAGTATCCTCCCTTGGCTAGTACTTCTTTGCCTACTGCATGCTGTAATGAAACGATGACACCTTCTTTGGCAGAGCCTCTCGTCTCTCCCACAGGCTCCCTGGCAATGAAAGTCTGCAGGAAGGACTCTTTAGCCATCAAACTAAGCAACAGGCCTTCCAAGCGAGAGCTGGAGGAAAAGAACATCCTCCCCATGCAGACTGATGAAGAGAGGCTCGAACTTAGGCAGCAGATTGGGACAAAGTTAACAAGGTAGGAGACAAACACTTTTCTAACTCTGGCTTTTGGAAATACGTGGTGGGATGCAGTTTTTATCCTTAGTCTGTAAACATTTGAGATCTGTTTGTTCACGATGTTCAAGAGGAAAAGCCATAGAGGGGCAAAAAGACTCAGGACATTATTTCTGCTCCAATATAACTTCCCATACGATGCCTCATTTCATTTTCCTGGTATATCATATGGGATCTTTGGTTGTCTTAAGTATCAGCATGAACTACGTGCATGTGGTTGGTTTTGGTGCACTATTGGGAAAAGTTCAGCTTGGATAACATTTTGGAATGAAGCTGCAGGTGCCATTTGATAAGCTGTTAGTTTGGCCAAAGGGCAGAAGTATCTCTTCTGACTGCATCTCCTGTGAGTAGCTGAGTCTTTTCCTGATCCAAAATACTTACCTTCAGTACCTGCTTTTGTTGTGTCAGGCTGGACAGATTTACCCTGTCTAGACTCTTTCTTCTTCATAACCATGTTACTCACTAGCTGTTCTGGTTTTCTGTATTGCATGGGGTATAGAGGGGTGGCCATTAAATATGGAAGATTTCTGTCCAGAATTAGTAAGCTGAGGTCAGGTAGAAATGTCTAAGAACCTCTTGTGCTCCAGCCGTGTATTCTGTAATCAATTTACTACTGTTATGTTATCAACTCAGTGGTAATGCTGTTAGTTGCCCTCCACTGTGACTCTGAGAAAACCACAAGGAAATCAGATAGTTGTTGGGAATTTTCTTGTGGGTTTTCTTTTTTTTTCTTTTTTTTTGATGGGGGGAAGTAAGGGAAGAACACCACTATCATGTTGGGGAGACAGGAAGAATAAGAGCTACTGGTAAATACCTCTTTCAACATTTTATCTACTTTTTTTTCATGGCCTTATTTATTGCCTTTTTGAAATAAACTAACCACATCTTTCCAGTCTGTCTTTGAAAGAGTTGATGCTGGATCATGCTTAGCCTACTCCAAAACCTCTCTAATTCTTCAATTCTTCTTGTTGAAGGGCTTCAGCAGTGATGCCCAAAGTATGCAAGATGGTGCTGCACTATTGCTGGTACTGTGATTTTTCAGTCCAGTCTTTATTCAGCCTAATACCTCGTTAGACTGCAGCTGCACGTGGAGCTCAGGGTCCCAAAGAGCAGCACATGATAGCAAGGTCCCAGTGCTTATATGATTAATTTTGAACCCTTTTGAAGCATGTGAAGAGTTGAAATTTTTGTCTCTTAGTATATCTTACTGTGCACTGCTTGACTTTGCAATGACATTGAACAGCACTTCCACTGTGTCACCCATTTGCCTAAATTACTTAGGTCCCTCAGAAGTTTTACAGCTCAGTCTGATGAAAGTAAATAGTGTCATTTGCAGACATTGACTCTGCACAGCTCACTGTGCCCCAGGTGATTTATATTATAAATATTTTATATCTCACCTCTCCAAAATCTGTTTTTTCCCCATTAAAGAATGTTTCTTCAGCATATCTCTCTCTGACAAGGTACACTATTTTTGGCAATACCCAAAACACTTCCTGTGTAAGTCCCATATTCTCACAATGTCATTGTTTGTTTCCCCAGTTGAATCTCTGCTCACTTAATCTGAGGTATAATGCTTGATCTTGTCTTCTAATATAGCTAGGACTTAGGGGTGATGACAAATAGTTCAAATAATTATAAGTGTGTATATACAAGCTCAAAAAAAAAAAATAGCTGAGCCACTGCTGTTTCATTCCCATTTTATAACAGTGTAACATCACTGAAATTGGCAGAATTTCACAAGCCTCATCTGGAATAATATACTGGCCAATATAATTGCCAGCCTGACCTTTTAATTACTAGCATTTACAACTTAGTATCTCATCACACACACAGAATCATAGAATGTTAGGGATTGGAAGGGACCTCATCCTTATGAGTAGTGAAAAATAATCAAGAAATATGAGGAGGAAACAACTTTCCTCATCCCTAATACATAAAAAGCCACAAGACGTTTCAGCAGCAAAAAGGAAGCTACCTGGCTTACCAGTGCTTTGTATCTAAATGTGATGTATCCATGTGCACAAACTGATGAATATTAGATTTAAATAGAGAGAATATTTCAGTTTGGATGGTATTTCTTTACTGTCCAGACTTCATTACTGAATCCATCCTTTGCCATTGCTCAGTAATTGTCACACAGTGATGCAAATGCCAAGCAAAATTAAAGTAGTGAAGCATTTATAGTCCTTAGAGAAGATGCTAGATGCAGACTATAATTGCAGCTGGCAATTTTGGATTTCAGTGGGATTTGTGCTCTTCCACCAATGGTCCCCTATGGTTTAAAATAGCCAGCCAATGAAATCACATATGCTACTTACAGAAGTAAAAAATGCAGAATAAGAACTTCAGCAAATAGTGTCTGTAATGGACCAATTAATTTTCACCAAGAGGCTGATTAGGATACTTCAGTATTTATGCATAATCTTCACAGTATTTAGTTTGGAAGGGCTCATTGACTGCCACATTTGGCAGATCAGAATTTAGTACTACAAAGAGAACTTCATTTTAAAATATGGTTATAGCCAGGACTATTGAGAGACTGACCATTGATACATTGTGTGGGACCAAAATCACCCCAGGTATAGTTCCTCCAGCCTTAATAGAGTTGTACCTGGTATCAATTTGGCTGAGAACTGCTTGCTCCTATCTTGTTTAAATGTACCTTGGAACCTCTGAACCTCAAATTAGTCCCAGAAAATTGTTATGACTTTATTATTGCATCTGCCAACTGGTAGAGAGACTCCAGGGCAGGCTTCACTATGTCACATCCTCCCCATGCTGGGAGAATAGTCCCCTGGCTTACACAAGACCACTTGTGGGGATGAGGCTGCAGAGACCAAATCTTACAAGCACTACACACCTGAATATCAGCTCAGCCATGAGGCAAATTAAGACCTTTGTGCATATCATAGAAACACTTCACATGAATGTAGCACCTCACTGGTGTATATCCTGTATCATGGCTCAGCACGTGTAGATCCAAACAAAAATGGAGCTTTTTGCCTAAGATGGCAAAATATGTCCAAGCAAAGGCAGGAGATCCCACATCACATGAATTCCAGCAGCATGAATAGGCCACTGCACCATAGAATATTTCTGGGCAGTCTTTACACAGCAGTTACAGCAACTAATGAGAAGACTTCTTCCTCTAACCAAACCAGAATGGACTGCTCTAAAATGTAACACCTACTATGAAGCAAGGAGCAAGCCGTGAATTAAGATGCAGAACTTCAGCTCATAATGACATGTGACCTGGGTATAGGAAGTGCATGCTGGAGGCTGTGTTCTTGGCTGCTAAAAACCCTTACAACTCCATTAACTTCTGCTGTGAAATGCAGACCTTCTGCGCTAAGTAAATATTTAAGTGAGTATGGTTTTATTTTTTCCTGACAGCTCAGCTTCTCCCAAACTCTTACTCCATTTTATCCCTCTGGTGCCTGCAGAGCTTCACAGCTGCTCAAGAAGTGTGTATTACTGACCCTAAGGTAGAAAGGAGAAAACAGAAGGAAAAACAGGACTCTGAAAGTTAACAGGCAGAGGGAAAAGACAGACTTCTGCCTGTCTCTCTGGCTGTGTTGGACCTGCTGGGAGGCAGTGGTCCCCTGGTTATTTAGGCTAGAGTAGGGGGTGGGAGGACCTGGATTTAGCTTTCAGTGGCTACCAGGGTGAGAGAATTGGGGCATATCTGGGTTATGACTGTGAGACAAGGACTCAGACAAGCTCTGGATCTCTGCTGGAGGTTCTCCCAGGGCAGTGATAACGGCATGGCCTGCCAGGAGCCCTTGGTGAGGAGGAGAGCCAGTACTGATGGGTGATGTACAGCAGAGCCGCGTGTCTCCCAGAGACTGCGGGACCATCCCCTGGTACTGAGACAGGTGCTTTAGTGCTGGTTCTTGCACTTCTGTTTCACCAAGGAATCATAATGGTGGTCATAAGAGACCACACAGCCTTCCTCAATCAATATATCATTTAGTAAGCACAGGAGCCCTTTGAGAAAATGTCTCTCTCTATTTCTGTGTAGCTATACACACCACCAGACTTTGCTGAGGACTTTGCACTCTCTTGAATTGGGATGACCTGGTTTCTTTACATGTCTTTCACAAAGTCTCTCCCATACCTTGAGAAAATGTGTGACTTTAAACTATGGCAGATCTGCCATGCATCCTACAAGAGAGGCTTTCTGATGCACTCAAGTATTTTTTGAGTCTCTTAACCCCCCAACTCTAGTGAAGGTGCTCATTAGCCATTAGATACAGGAATATTAAAGCTCAGGTTTTGGTCCACTGCTTCTCAATAATGCATGGCAGTGTCCTTATCTGTTTTCCCTGAATTGCTTCCATCCTGGCTTTTCCCACCTGCTGGAATAGGATGATTTAATCATACAAAAAAATCTGGTAATCCATTATTATTGTCATCACATTGCTAATATTCAATGTTAAGGGAAATTCTTGATATTCACAGTATTATTACTGGTCAGGATCATGTCTGTCTCATCAGCACACTCGTACCCACCTCAGGGCAGAGGGCAAGCTGGCTACATGTCACAAGGCAGGGGAGATATGTAAAGGCTGTCCACAGGCAAGCAGTGTATGTCAGGAGAGTGCTACCCATCACTGGCAGCTGCTGCATGCAACACAGTCAGGTTTTGCAGCCCAATAACATTTTCTGCTGCCCTGCTGCCGAAAGCTGTCAGTTGTAGAAGTCACATTTAACCCAAGACCATGCCCGGTGTGAAAGCAAAGAGAGATGAGATGGGGGATCAGCCCTCTGCACATTAATCAGATAATGAAATAAAAAATAATTACATTAGAAACATGAATCATAGAATCATAGAAGGGTTTGGGTTGGAAGGGACCTTAAAGATCATCCAGTTCCAACCCCCCTGCCAGCAGCAGGGACACCTTCCACTAGACCAGGTTGCTCAAAGCCTCATCCAACCTGGCCTTAAACACTTCCAGG